TCAGATTAAATTCAACTCTTAATTTTGTATTATGAGGGAATCGGGAGTTTTGCCCTTAGTATATTTAGATAGACTTTAAACACATCCCAGTAGACGACTTGTGTATTAAGTCTCTAGCCAGTCTTTTTGTCAAAGTGTCGGCTAGGTTATGTTGTGATCCAACGAATTCCACCGGATCACCCCATTCATGATTAATTCATGAATCATACACGTCTAACACCTAGATGTCTAGACTTCCTATTATAAACTTGGCTATATGTTTTAGCCATCGTTGTTGCACTCTCACAATGAATAGAAATGAGTGGTATCGATTTCGTCTACAATGGAATCTCGTAAACTAAATTATAAAGCCATTCATCTTCATTTCCTACCACAGATAATGCTATAAATTCAAATTCTATATTCGAATTTGCTTATTTTAAGCCCAACAAATGACACCTCCCCCAAGCAATATTACTCATCCTGATATGGAAGAGTTATACGCTGCATGCTTTATCCAATTAGATTTGAATATCCCTCTATAACCGAAGGAAAATCATAGTACGAGAACTCATAATTAAAGTCTTTTAATTATTCATTTCCCATAAAAATTTGAGGAACCTCCCTAATTGAAGTATGAGCCTGCAGATTGTTTATATCAGCAACCTGCACTCTTGTCGGCATTAAGAATATTGCTCTAGATCTAAGGCAAGATAGGTAATTGCCACTAGATCTGGTAGTTGAAAAAAGAAATTGTGGAGAATCCTCCTATCCATTTCAAATTATCTCATGAGGTTATTAAGTCAGGTTACAAACAATCTGAACAATACAATATGAAAATTGATTTGTGTAAAATTTCAAATTCTAAATTTTCAATGTGATTTTTATTCCATATTCTTAGTCATTCCAGATATGCATTATGATTTAATTCTAAATCCATATGCTATTTATAGAAAATGGTGTGAGATTGTGATTTAATTTTCACATAATAGATGCAAAGTTCCAATGGGCTCACATAAATATTGGTGCAATTCTTCAATCAAATACATTTTTTCAAGAATTTTTTTAATTCTTCAAATTTAATCTAAAATCAAAATAAATTATATTTCCTTTCACTGCAAAAACATTATTTGTGAAGAAAATACATATCTGTTAATGAGCCGGCATAATTCATACCATCAAATTGTACTAAAATTAGCGAAATATTATTTTATTTTCTTCTTGTCATTTTAGAAATGTAAACTTACGTTTCTCACCATGGTTGATTTGAAGATTTTATCCTTTAGTTGTTCATCAACCATATTTACAGAAAATCTAACAAACCTTGCTTTATCATCTTTTTGCGGCATTATAAGATTTTCTCTGCGAAAATATTTCCATGTAAACTTTAATATATATATATATACAGATTTATGTATATATATTAAATTGTTATACACAAATAATTATGTGAAATTCTAAATATCTCAATACATTTTCTAATGTATTAATTTTATGGACTTGTAACATCCAATTCATAAATTTCAGCCATAAATCCATAAAGATTTGAGCATAAAGTAAAATAATTAAAATTAATATGCTTCAATTTACAGCCCCACATTTGACATTCTCATCATATTCTAATCATATATTATTTATGCGCAATCATGTCTTATCCCTTTAAGACATTAAGTTCTAATTATTTGCATTAATTATGTAGACATGTCTAGATGATCAAGCCAGAAGCCACTTAATTATTTATAATAATTTATTTTACACAACCAACAAAGTGGATACATTTACAGAAAATATGACATTAGTGTAGATTCTTCACCTATCCCATTTTGTTGATTCATTGCTATCAACAGAAGATGCCTCAAGGGTGTCTTCACCAATTTTCTTTGATTCGGGCTTGTTTTCTCACGAATTTTCAATCAGGATTCTAGGGACAAACTCTACCCTAATCCCTGAGGTCCTCTTTCACCATTAACCCGTCCTTTTGAATGTCCAACACCTTAATATATGATCGAGTAACAATTTTGTCACGAACTATTGCTCCCTACTCGGAAATATCGTATTCGACTATTGGGGGATAGAGTGTAGGGTGACAATGATAATGGTTGGACAACTTCTCGTATCATATAAGATTCACTTTTCGAATACAATATTTTAATCTTTTATTGCCTCGTATTACTCCAAACTAGTATTGAGATAGTACGAGAAGACAATCTCAATTTCAGACAAAAAATTTGAGATGATTTATTTCCAATACTAATTTGAGACAAAATTAGTATTAGAAATAAATAGGAATAAAGCTGAAGATTTTGGATTGTGTATATATTTTCCTGCAGCTGAAAAGATTTTTATATTACAGAATTTTGCAAATGAATGTGTATTCTTCTTAATGAAAGGAATTAATTGTGGAAAGAATGAATTTGTATGTAGTATGCTAGCAGGGGTCCTCTACTTATTGATACAGAGGCACTCCTTGGAATTTAGGAGACACTTCTTCATTACAGAGAAGTACCGTTTTACTTCCTCGAGATACATTTGATTTAATTCCTTAATAGACACCTTCTGAATTGAATTTTACAAACCTTTTCAATTGAATATTGTGAAAGGTTGCAACTCTCCACATATCATCTAGAACACTAATATATATGGATGAGCACGGATGACTACATGAATTTTCATATCTATCTTTCCTTTTTGTAGGTACAAGTAGGTGTTGTTGTTTTGTCTGGCAGTAAAAATAAGTAATATTGTGGAAAAATATGTCTAAAGTTATCAATTCCTGTTGGACATGCAAAACAAAAGAAAAAAAATATATTTGTATCTGATGTTTGTGGAGAGAATTTTTTTACGTCTACAAACTTATTGAGAGGAGGCAACGTGAATGACCGATTTAGAATAAAAATTGCATATATGATGTTTGTGGGAAGAATTTTTCAGCGTCTACAAACTTATTGGGAGAAGGTAACGTGAATGACCAATTAAGAATAAAAATTTCATATTTGATGTTTGTGGGAAGAATTTCCACGCATCTACAAACATATTGAGAGGAGGTAACTTGAATGACCAATTTAGAATTGGGTGTGAGTATGTGGATGAGCTATAATCAGAATTGATTCCACCTAACACGGATTACCTATTGTATGTTGTTTGTGCTTGTATCACGGATGACCAATTTATGGATGATTTTGAAATTGCCCTTAAATCCAAATTGACAATCCCTTCTCTCCATGGTTTTCCGACTCAGCTGAGTCTGGTCCGACAGAAAAACCGATATTTGGCTTTAGGGTTTTTTTTTGGGAAAAGAGATGAAAGATTCCGTAGGTAGAAGAAGAGAAAGAAAAGATGAATAAAGGAGTGAAAGAAAAACAAAAATAGGTGGGGAAGAAGGAGCACTACAAAAAAATATCATTTTTGTAACGATATTTTTCCGTCTTTAAATTCACTTTTTCCGTTACTAATGATATTAGAGACGGAATTAATGATGGAATTACGTTAGCTACGTGATCTTTAATAACGGAATTCCGTTACAAATATAATATTTTTTTGTAGTGGAGAAGCGGTTCAAATCGGTTCAGTTTTTTTTTTTTCTTAAAATATGGCAGTAACCACGACACCATTACGCAGCAGAGCAGGACTGGTAAAGAAGAAGAATGATGAGGACCGAGGATGGCTGCTGCGGACATTATGGATGTGTAATGTGTAAATGAAATGATTAGGACAATATTTTATAATAATAATAATAATATTATTATTATTATTTTTAATTATTTTTATATATTATTAATTTTCTTAAAAATAAAAATAATACTCCCTCTGTCCCATAACAAAGTATCCATTTTTTCATTTTAGTCCGTCCCATAACAAAATATCCATTTCCTTTTTTAGTAACCGTACTATCTACCTAACATTACAAATACCCTTACAACTTACAATATATTACACAAATGTCATTACCTTTATTTATATCACACATACTAACAAGGTTATTTTAGTCATTTCTACTTTATTCCTACTATATCCCAATATAATATTAATATTTCTAAAACTACGTGCAAAAACAAATGGATACTTCTTTTGGGACGGAGGGAGTATTAATATTAATATTAATAAAAAATTAATAATTATTAATGATATTGAAAAGAAATAATATTATAACATTATATAATATTTATATTTTCAATTTTATAATTTTTTTATTATATAATTCTATTTAATTTAAATTTTGTTATTATCTAATATATCAATATTTTTATAATTTAATTTTATTATTTTTTTAATTTAAATTTTCATTAAATTATTTATTAAATTTATTAATTTAATTAATTTTTATATTGTAACATTTTAATTAATTACTTATTTGGATATAATAAATAAATAACAAATATTTCTAAATAAAATTAAAATTGAAATTAATTATTTTTATATAAAATTCAAATTTAGAAAAATAGAAAATAAAAAATATTAAAAATAATATATATAAAATGGCGGCTCAAACCGTAATCGGCAATTTTTAAACTGAAATCGAAACCGAAACTATTAAATCGTAATCAAAATCGTCATTCGGAAGGTTAGATTTTGATTTGATATTTTGACGAACCATAACAGGCTATTTGAATCGTTTGGGCAAGTCTACTGTCAGCCCTTATGCCTTTCACACGGATCTTGTCATTTTGTCTGATGTTGTATATTCTTGCTTTATACTTAGAGTAAAATATGAACTACACTCCAACTTCAAACCGAACAAACTATTAGAACATAGTATTGAGATTTGTTGGATTTTAGTCCAAATTGGATCCACCCCATAAAACATAATTTTACACCCATTACGCAGCCAATAAACACCTACCCAGTCCACGGCCTGTGACCCGCGCCTTTGACCCGCGACCCGTGCCTCTGGGCCCGCGCCTTATGGGAGCTTGATCTTGATCAACCGTCAGATTTAGGGATTTAGTCTCATCCCTTCATTCCTAATTAACCTAGATATAAATGGGTGGGGAGGGGTGAAGCCGTGAGACACTCTCACTCATACTTTCCCTTTCTACATCTCACCCTCTCTCTGCCCTCTCTCATGCAACATTTTCCAACGACCTTTTCGGAGGTTCCTCAGCGATATTGTCTTCCTCTTTTATATGGAGTTACTTGGCATGGTTTGTTTCCTCTGTTTGTTGAGTAGAGCCGCAAGGGGTTTTTTCAACCCGGTAAGCATATGTTTTGTGCCGTGGTGCATTGTATTTGTGCTGTGAGATTCTTTTTTGTCGAGTTGTGGGTTCGTAGGGTTGGTTTTGTGTGTTCGTCTCATTTGGGTGTATATTGTATTGATTTTCTATTGAACAAGTGGTTTTGGGGGCTGAACCTAAAATCAAAACTAGTTCAAAGTTTTTACCATATTTTTGTTAATAAAATCTTGATTTCAATCCTAATATTTCATTACAAGTGGTATTAGAGCTTTTGGTGAAGATTTTCTTTACAAATTTATTTTTATTTTTGATTTCGTAAAGATTTTGGTTTAAATCTTTAAGATCTAAAAGGATCCGGTTGAATTGACCTATTTTTTAAGTGTTCGATTCTTCTCCTATTAGATCTTTGTTAAAATCGGGCCATTATGCTTCGTTTCTTTCTTGTATAGCCTTGGTTGAGTTTTTTCTTTTACGAAATCATCTTTACTCTTTGATTTTGTAAGGATGTGCTCAAAACCAAAGCGATCCGTGAGAAATCGAAAGGATCTGGTTGAATTGAACTTATTATATTGTGTTTAGTTCTTTTCCTTTGATTTCATGTCAAATCGGCATGTTGAGTTTTGATCCGTGCTAATATAGCCACGGTCGAATTGTTAATGTGTGGTTTGGGCTTAATCGCTACTATTTTGTGTAGATTGGTTAAGTTCGAGTCCATTTCGGTTAGAACGGTTCAAAGTCGTTTCGATTTGGTGAAATTCAATTTTGTCTATTGTTATTTAAAGAAAATAAACCGTAAATCTCTAGCTTCTCCTTATTTTGTAATAGATTTGTGTTCCGTTGGGTTTCAAATCAAAAAGATTTTTCAAAATCTTTTAAGTTTAGTTAAAATTGTTTTAGATCTTTAAAATCGTAACTATTTTTGGTTAAAAAATCTTTAAAACCAAAATTTTTTTCAAGGATCTTGTTAAATTTGTTATTGTGGCCTTTTATTGTCTCTGTTCTATCTGTTTTGTGCTTACATGCCCCTGAATGTGTGTTTCAATGACTAACTTTTGTTAGAGAGGAAACTGTCTTTGTTTTAGTGTTATTAGTTGGCTACCCCTATTCTTAAAAAAAAATAGGTTATTTGTATATTTTCTTGTACTTTTGTTGGGAATATATTGTTGTTGTGTTTCGAGGGTAAACTCTATAACCCTAACTACTATATTGTTCTTATTCTTTACTTGGTTTAATTCTCTTATTTAAAATTCTGCCCAAACAATTGTAAAGACTTTTGTGATACCAACGTTGCAAAATTCTGATCCTTACTGTTGTGAGTGATTCTCGAGTACCTTCGGTGGAATAGTCACAAGTGAATGTTGTAATAGATAGGCTTTACTTTGAGTTTTATATTTGCCTGTGATTGCAATATTTTGTGATATGTTTGTTGCTGTGTTTGATTGTTGTGTTTGTTTTATGTGATTTGCTGTCGATGTACTGTGATTTGGGTGCTTGTTTGGTTCCCAATTTGTTTTTTTTTTTAAAAAAAATGACTTTTTTGATAAACTTAATTTTTACAATAAACTACATTTCTTTAAAAAAACAATCTGTGTTCCTTCGAAATTGTTCTTTGAACTAATTGTTTTCGAAAATTGATAATCATAAAGCTGGGCAAATATTTTTTAATATCCAAACTTTTGATGGAAAAATTGATTTTGATATTTGGAAACAAAAAATGAAAAATATACTTGTTACTCAAAGATTAATTAAGGCCGTGGAGCCGGATCAAGTAACTACAGTCCCTCTCGAAAGGAGGGTTGAGTTGGATAAAATGACTTCGTCTTGTATAATTCTAAATTTCGCTGATCATGTAATTCGTAAGTTTGATAGGCAAGAATCTGTTGTGGCATTGTGGAATAAATTGGATGAACTATATACTCAAACTTCTTTACCTAGCAGGCTTTATCTGTTAGAAAAGTTATTTAGTTTTTTAACTTGATCAATCTAAAACTATCGATGAAAATCTTGATATTTTTTAAAAATTAATTCAAGATATTAAGCTTACCGGTGATAAGAATATAGATGATTATAGTGCTATAGTTCTTTTGAATTCTATTCCAAATGCATATTCTAATGTAAAATTTGCAATTAAATATGAATGTGATTTTGTGACTTTAGATGTGGTTATTAATGGTTTGAAAAGTAAAGAATTAGATTTAAATGTAAATAAATCTAATAAATCTGGTGAGGTTATGTTCATTAGGGGAGTGTCTCCTTTTAGATCTAATAGAAATAATAATTATGGAATTTCTGATAATAAAAAAATCAGAATAATAATCAAATAGATTTAAAACTCCTAATAAAAGAGGAAAGAGATGTTATAATTGTGTTGATCCTTTACACTTTTTAAGAAATTGTCCTAAGAAACATAATAATAATAATAATAATAATAATAATAACGGTAATAAAAATAATAGTAATGCAACAAGTGAGTTAGCCAATATGATTATTATTGATAATAATTTAGGGGATGTGTTTGTTGTTTGTTCATATTTAAATTTGAAATTTTTGAGTGCTAATGAATGGTTAGTTGATTCTGTTTGCACATATCATATGACACAATTGAAAAATATTTTTTTTCTGAATTTGAATAATTAACGCATTGTTATGTGACTATGGATGATAACGTATGTGTAAAGTTGAGGGAATTGATGTTATTAGTTTGAAATTTAAATTTGAAAATGTACTAAAATTGCATGATGTGAGATGTGTCTGAATTGTCTAATAATCTATTGTCATGTGTTAGATTATCTACTTTCGATTTAGAAGAAAAGTGGAGTTTAAATTGCATGAAAATAACAAAAAGTTCTTTAGTGATTTTTAGGGCAGAATTGAAAAATGACTTATATGTAACCTCTCTTATACCTGTAAATGTACATTCTGATATACATAAGTTTGAAATTGATAATTTTGAATTATGACATAAAAGGTTAGGTCATCTTAATTACTTGAAAATTCTGCATGAATCTGTCTATTTAGAAATTTCCTTACATTTTTTGTAGTTCAATGCATGTTCTCCTGAAAAATTAAATAAAATTCAATTTTTGTCAAAAATCCCTGACAATTATATATATTTTTTTAAAACAAAATTTTGGAATGTATACATAGAGATATATGTGATCCTTCTAATAAACCCACTCATGGTGGGAGTAGATATTTTTTTTACAGTAGTTGATGATTTTTCAAGAAAAAATATGGATATTCTTATTGAAAAATAAACTGGATTTGTTCAAAATTTTCAAGGATTGAAAATTTAAAATTGAAGCTAAAATTGACAGAAAAATTAAATGTATTAGAACTGGTGATAGTTTGTATTTTGTAACACATAGTTCAATAAATTTTGTGTGCAAAATTGTATGAAATTTGACTATGTCCCCATAACACCTCAATCTAGTGGGGTGGCTAAAAGACTAAACCGGATTTTTTTGGAGAGAGTTAGAATCCTTTTGACTTCATCCGGTTTATCTGGAAAATTTTGGGGTGAAGCCGCTGTAACAACTTATCTTTTAAATCGTACACCCTCTATCCTCTTAAGTGGTGAAATTCTTGAAAGTAAGTAGTTTGTATGCTTGGGTCTCTTGCTGTGATACATATTTGTACTGATGAATTTGGGATGAAAATTGAAATTGTGTTTTCTTAGATTATGGTGTTACGGGGTATAGATTGTGGTTAAGTTCTAAACCCAGTTTTAAACCTATTACTAGTAATAATGTGACATTTAATGAATATTGGGGAATCTGAATTGGTTGATTCTGAAACTGTTGAACTTAATACAGATTTTCGTAATATTAGAAATAAGATGGAGCATAATGTGATTGATATAGAAATTGGAGAAATTAAACCTGTAAAATTTGATTTTTTGTTTTGAATTTACTGATATTCAACATGTTGTCCGTGAATCCAAAATGTGCAATTTGTTGATATTGAAATTGTTGAGATTGATTATGTAATTAATTGTAGCGATGCTGAAAATGTGTATGTTCTATGAAACGAAAATTCAGAGGTTGAGAGTGTGAGAGATTCTTATTTTAATTGCAATAATATTAATTATGTTTCTAACGAAACTTGTGTTCAATCTGCTGAAATTGTGCAAATTCATATTAAAATTGATAATATCAAATTTAAAAGAGAAATTAATACTGTTTTTTATAGTGTTCAAAATGAGGTGGAGTTTGCTTTATATAATGAAACTGATATTTTTGTTGGTGATTTTCTAATCTTATCTATTGCTGGCCAGCCTGTTGTGAATAAAATTGAAAATAGAGTTTATGAAATTAAAAACATTGTTGGAATTGTTTCGAATAATAGTAATGAGATTGAAAATTACCCTTTGGTTAGAGATGATGTTAGGAATAGTCCTAAAGTGTTCTCTATATTTGGTAATTTTGATTCATCTTCTTTGCCATGTGATATGTTTGAGAGCTTTTATGTGGATGATCCTATGTCTGTTAGGAAAATAATAAATCCTGAAAATAAGTCTCAATGTTTGGTGTTATGGGGAGATAATAACTCATTAGTCAATAATAATTGTTTGAAATCAGTTACTAGAGTTTTCTATTGGCTTTTTTGTGTCATGTTATCATTGGTTGTGAATGATATGAAACTTGAGAAGCTTGTTACTGTTTTTGTTTGTATACTGTGTGCTAAATGTTTTGGTTGTATGACAGATTTACAATGTAATGTAGTTCTGACAATGTTTGGATTTGAATTTATTTTTGCTGTTGTAGATACAATATTATGGAAAATTAAAAAACTTGTATCTTGTTTGAAAAAAAAAATGTTTTGATACGTTTGATTATGTGTTCTACATATGTGTAGATGGTAGACTAATTAATGTATTGTTTGACTAACTTGGTTTATCTTTTTCTTTGTGCATGTAAGTAATCCAAAATTATAGGCAATGATGACCCCTACCACTCGGACAAAAATTAGGTGGAGGATTTGTTAGGTTTTAGTCTAAATTAGATCCACCCCATAAAATA